CCGTAAAATTAGAGAGTTGGATTACATGATCTCTGAACTCACTCGTCCCTTTTATGATTCTATGGATGAATGAATGAGGCACTGCTTAAGCATTTACTATGTGCTAAGCACTGGAAACACACACAGAAAAGTCAAATGGTCCCTGCTGTCAAGGAGCTCACACAGTCTAATGAGGCAGATAACGTGGGAGAAGATTTCAGCTGCCAGTCAAATGGAAAGGTCCTCTGGTCCTTAGGATGGTTAATGTCTCTCCTTTCATGTCACTTCCACTGATAAAATCCTATCAGTTTCTGATGTTGAACTGTTTGACAATGCCAAGGATTTTGGTGGCAAGAACTTTCTTTTCTGGTTCTTTAGTGTCTGTGGCTGTAGCACCTGCAGGGGTAATTGCCAGGTTGCCTTTCCACAGGGGTTGCTTCCCAGGATGATGGCCAAGGGCACTGGGCTGGAAGCACTGCTATTCCCAAAGCTCTTTGGTTCAGGGTCCTGGGCTGTCTCCATCAGAATCTGAGGGGAGATGGTGGTGAGTATGGTGCTGGTTTGACTTGCCTGACACCTGCTGCCCCCTTCTCTCTCTCAGGGTGCCTTGATACTTCAGCTAGGTTGGCTTACCTGCCCCATCAGTGACAGTCATAGAAAGGGCTGGTCTGTTCTCCATAGGAATTGCCTCCCTGGATGGTGGCCATGAGGGCTGGGATAACAGCAGAACAGGTGGTTGGGGAGGAAGGTGGTGGTGCTGTGATTTGGGATTCCTAATTCTGTTTTTTTTTATGCTATGGTAGCTGCATATTTCTGGTCAAGTCTAGTAGGTCCACAAAAGGTAAGAGATTAAAAAAGTATATACTAAAAAGGAATACACTCAATAGGCTCTAAACAGTCCATAAAAGTGAGGTGCAAGGGTAGTGGTGGCAGCATGGGTAGAGAGTGGGGAGTTGGGAATGAATGGGAGAGATATTGTAGTGGTAGGTAGGAATGAAACAAGCATTTAAGTGCTTACTATGTGCCAGGTCAGCCCTCCCTCACTTAAATCCAATTCACTTGTAAGTCATGGCATCACCTTCCTGATGTCATAGTTCTCGAGAACGAAGGACAAGCAGCCACAACAATGAGCCAGAAAAAAAAGTAGGAAAATAGAGGCAGCTAGGTGGTGCAGCGGATAGAGCACCAGTCCTGAAGTCAGGAGGACCTGAGTCCAAATCTGATCTCGGACCAGACACTTGACACTTATTAGCTGTGTGACCCTGGACAAGTCACTTAACCCCAATTGCCTTGCCCCCTCAAAAAACCAAAACAAAACTCAATGTGCCAGGTACTGTATTCAGCTCTTTATGAATATCTTTTCATTCCATCCTCACAACAACCATGGGAGGCAGGTACTATTATTATCCCCATTTTACAGATGAGGAAACTGAGGCAAATAGAGGTTAAGTGACTCACCTAGGGTCACACAGCTAGTGTCTGAGGTGAGCTTTGAACTCAGGTCTTCCTGACTCCAGGCACATCCTTCTATCCACTACATTGTCTAGCTGCCTCTGATCAATAGGGTTATCTTCAGCAGGCTGTTTATTGCCCCTTCTCTCCACTCCCACACTCTACCCCATTATGACTGACTTTCTTGCCACTGATCCTAGGGTACTCTCTGATTTCTAGCACCTGTCCAGTGCCCCATGTTCCATACCTTTTCCTTTCCTGTACTTTCCCTAATCAAAACTTATTTGTCCTCTGTCCCATGCTTTTATCACATTGAAAAATCTACTCTGTAAGTAAGTTTATTGTTGTTCAGTCATTTCAGTGGTTTCCAACTCTTTGAGACCCTATTTGGAGATATTGGAGTGGTTTGCCATATCCTTCTCCAGCTCATTTCTTTTTTTTTTTTTTTTTGCAGATGAGGAAACTGAGGGAAACAGGGTTAAGTGACTTGCCCAGCTAATAAGTGTCTGAGGCCAGATTTGAACTCAGGAAGATGAATCTTCCTGACTCCAGGCCTGGCACTCTCTCCACTGTGCCACCTAGCTTCCTCAGCTAAGTTCACAGTACTACGTTAAAGGATATCAATGACTTCATGTGCTACCCCTTAAGGATATTTGCAGTTAAAGGAGGGTTTCCTGGAAACATCATGCCTTAACCTAAGGAAATGAACATATAATGATAAGGATTTATTGTACTGTGGCAGGTAGGTGAGGGAAATATTATTAATTTGATGGTTGTCTTTCCATGCCCCATTCAAACCGTACTTCTTGTTCAGGATGTTCTAGAGCCAATAAATTCTACCAGGAAATCTGGTAATAATTGGTTCTGCCCAAGCAGAAATCCAGGGCCAGGTAAGTTCGTCCTTTGACTAACAGGTTGTGAGGGAGCCTGGATTCTACGTTTGGCTGCCCAGGGGCCTTTGTTTTCCCCAGCCATAAAAACAGACTATTTGTCCTCTTTTGTGGAGTGAGCCCAGATCCCTAGCGATGGAAGTTGCCAAAGGGCAAAAGGATATTATTATAAAAGAGGGACTGTATGATTTAAGGCAACAACATCCCGGGAAACGCAGAGAAGGTGGACAGCAGGAAGATGGAAGAGTGTTGGCAGGAAGCTAAAAGAAAGAGTGATCTGTATTTCATTGAGATGGTATGTTGGAGTCCACATGGGAGGAGATTAAATATCTCATCCCCTGAATGCAGAAAGGCAGAGATAAATCAGGCTTTACTGCAAGCAGGGTGACAGGGAGTTAATTAGGAGAGGAAAAAAAATACATTTCAATTCACAAAGAAAAGAAGCAAGAGAAAGACTGGTGTCGATGGAGGTCACGTTATGCTGTCCAGGATCTATAAGTACGCTTCTTTAGGCACAGCAAACTGGAGGCAATTTGAATTGGTATAATTTAGTTAAATCCGTGATCACCCGTTTTCTTACTCTGAATGATCAGCACTCCCCTACTTCCACCTCACGTACCCACAGACACTACAGTCATAGTACAAATGAAGGGGGCGATGTGGAACAGTGGGAAGAACAAAAGACCTGGGTTAGAATCCCTGTTCTGCCACCTTTTATCTGTGTGACCTTGAACAAGTTATATCACCTCTCTGGGACTCTGTTACTTCATCTGTAAAATAGGGGTCAGTCCCTTCTAAATCAAAGTTTATGGTTCTATGACCCAAGGCTCAACAGTGAGGGCATCTCTCAGCCTCTACTGATCTTTCCCCAATGAGTATTTCTCTAATTCTCCCCATTCTCTATCCATTGACTCCTCAAATATTCTATCACCACCCTTCCCTATCACCTTCAAGCTCTGCGACTGCTCCCACCAACTAATATACTTCTAAATACCAGTGCAGAAATGTTAGTTCAATCAACTGCTCTCCTCATCAGTTGTTCCTATAAAGGCCAAAATTGCCCAAGAAACCTACCTAAGTTAGTGTTGTCTCTTAGATACTAAATTCCCAGGGACTAGGGACAGAGAATAAGTGAGAGAAATGATTATTTCTTTCATATATTAATAACTAATTATTGAATTAGGACCAAGGTTTCCCCCCTTTTCTACCTCTTTATCCAGAAATCAACCATTGTGGGAAATCTTGGACAAAGACTTACCCAGCCAGGAAAGCTAAGATCTAATAAAAGACAGTAAAGAAATTCTAAGTTCAGGGGAATGGGTGGATTTCCACTTGTGTTTACTCAGATAGGTTTGGGAAAATGTGGATTCTCCCTTTTGTGATATGGAAATTGGAAAGTCTCTTTGACCAAGATTCGGGTGCTCAGTGTCATGTACCTCAAGATCCTCACCGGAATAAGCCCACCTCTCATCATAATATTCATTCTCTTATTAATTATTAACCAGTCAGAGTTGATTGCCATCCTCAGGAACACCCACTTTTCCAAGGGCATATGAACTGTGAGCATACTGCCATGAAGGGTCTTTGATCCAAGAAATGGCCAAATGACCATTCCTTTTGTTGATAATATGCTAGCATTATTAATAAAATGATTAATTGCCCAGAAATGTCTCTTGTTAAAATGTCACTTAAGGTAGTGAAGAAACACCAGACTAGGAATCAAAAGACGTAAATTATGTTCCCAAGTCTGCCATTTATAAACCCTGTGGCCCAGGACAAACAACTTCACCAATCTGCTCCCTTATATATAAAATGGGAATAATAATAGGACATTAATATGTCTATCTCACGTGGTAATTTTTCTTCAAGGATTTTTTTATCATTATTTTCCCCCCATTTTATTTATTTATTTTTAGTTTTCAACATTCACTTCCACAAGATTTTGGGTTCCAAATTTTCTCCCTATCCCTCCCACCCCATGACAGCCTGCATTCTGATTTCCCCCTTTACCCAATCTGTTCTCCCTTCTATTACCCCCACTCCTCCTCTTATCCTCTTCCCCTTCTATTTTCCTGTAGGGTAAGATAAATTTCTATACCCCCTTGCCTGTATATCTTATTTCTCAGTTGCATACGGAAATAATTTCTAACATTCCTTTCTAAAACCCTGAGTTCCGAATTCTCTCTCCTTCTCTCTCCCCAGCCACCCTAATTGAGAAGGCAAGCAATTAGATATAGATTATACATGTGTAGTCATCACATGGTAATTTTGAAGGTCAAATATAATAATAGTGCTTGCAAAAATGCTTTGGAAACTGTGAAGTAGTTAACAAATGCTGGGAATTATCATTGTGAAGGATCATAGGTGTAGAAGAAGAGAACTTTACAGGCCACTTAGTCGATCCCCTCTTATTTGACCTGTGACAAAACTGAGGCCCAGAGAGCAGAAATTACTTTCTTGAGGCCATGCAGGTATTAAGTGTTATAAGCGGGATTTGAAGCCAGATCTTCTGACTTCAAATCCAGTGCTGTTTCTACTGTCTTACGGAGTCATTACTCAGGATAACATATGCCATATATACTTTGTGGGTGCTTTGATCAATGTTTTTTGATAAAGCTGTGACTACTATGTGTCTCCAATCAATCAGCAGGTATTTATTAAGTCTCTGCTCTGTTCCAGATCCTGCGCTAGGTCTTGGGGATATAAGTGCAAAGAATGAAACAATCCCTCCCTCAAGGTGCTTACATTCTAATGGAAAAGGCAACAATTTTATACGTAAGTATATACAGAATAAATATAAATAAATGCAAAGCAGTTTGAATTTGCAAGGTAATTGGAGAGGAGAGGCAGCACTAGCAATTGATGGAGATGGGGAAAGGCTTCATCCAGGAAATGATGCCTTTAGGTTCATCTTACAATAAGCCTTTCCCTCTCTGACAGTTTTGTTCAGTTGTTTCAGTCACATCTGACTTTTCGTGACCCCATTGGGGGTTTTCTTGGCAAAGATACTGGAGTGGTTTGCCTTTTCCTTCTCCAGACTGTTTTACAGGTGAGGAAACTGAGGCAAACAGGGTTAAGTGACTTACCCAGGGTCACACAGCTAGGAAGTATATGAGACCAGATTTGAATTCATGAGGATGAGTCTTCCTGATTCCAGGTCCGGTGCTCTGCCCACTATATCACCTAGCTGCCTCTCTGAAAATAAATTAATAATTTATAAGTACTTACATGCATCAGGGAAACTACTATTTGAGGGGTTCCCCATCTTGTGCATCTGTACCCCAGTGAATACAAGAAGCTTATCAAAAGGAGAATGGAATAATTGGCAAATAATTCTATTATTCTGTTGAAATTAATCGCTTTATTTTATTTCTTATGCATAGGTGAATGATAAACTCTAGAATTCATTTCCTTTCATGTTGAATAGAGAGTTCAAGACAGTTTTATTAAATTGATGTGAGAACTCAAAAAGGTTCCTGACTTATTTGAAGGAACCTTGGAGGCAGTCTTAGGAAAGTGATGATAATGTAATGTAGATGAGACATCATTTTACCTCTGAATGGGTTTATTCTCCTGGTGAGAGGAGGTATGGTATTTATGAACTGAATGCTTGACTTGCTGCTTGAGTGGAGAGAAGGCTAGAACTGGTGTCAGGAAAATCTAACTTTAATTCTTTCCTCAGGCACTGATTAATTCTGTAATCCTGGGCAAGTCAGTTTAACCTCTCCGAGCCTCAGTTTTCTCATCTGAAATATGGGAATCACTATCATCATCATCATCATCATCATCATCATCACCCCTACCTTACAGGGTTGAATGGAGGATCAAATGAGATAATTAAATTAAATAAGTAAAGTGCTTTGCAAACTTTAAAAGCTCTACATAAATATGAGTTAGCCTTGCCAAGAAGGAGAAAAGTACTAGGGTTTGATGGAAGACCAGCAAAGGCTTGGAGATTCTGGAGGGGAGCTGGGAACCCTGCTCTCCCCATTCCTCCTAGATTCCTGACCATCTCTCACTCCCCAGATCCAAGGTGTTGCCAAGGCCTGTTGACTTCACCTTTGCAGCATCTCTGGAATACTCCCCCTTCTCTCCTCTGCCACAGCCACCATGCTAGTGCAGGCCCTCCTCACTTCATGCCTGATTATCACATTAGTCTGCTGGTGGGTCTATCTGTCTCCAGTCTATCTCTACTCCAGTTCATCCTTTATTCAGTCACTGAAGTGATTTTTCTAAAGCACAGGCCCAATAATCCACCCCACCATTCAAATTCCCAAATCAATAAACTCACCTCCAGAAGAAAATACAAAATTCTCTGCTTGGTGTTCAGAGCCCTTCATAACCCAACTCCCTCCTTCCCTTTCCAGTCTTCTCATACCTTACTCCCTGACACATAGTCTTCAAACCAGGGACATTGGCTATTTCAAGACACTCCATCTCTTAGGTCTGGATATTTTTTTCTGGCTGTCCCTTGCTTGGAATTCTCTCTCCTTCACTCTACTGATCTCCCTGGCTTCCTTTAAGTCTACAGGAAGCCTTCTCCAACCACCCTTAATTCCAGGACCTTCCTTCAGGTAATTATTTCCTATTTATTGCATACATAGTTAGATCAGTATATATTCATTTGCATGTTATCTCCCCTATTAGATTGTAAGTTCCTTGAGGACAGGAATACTTTACCTCTTTTTGAACCTCAGACACTTAGCTCAGTGCTTGGTACATCATACAGTTATCCCTTCTACATCCTGGGGGTTAAGGGTTAGGTCCTGTGATCTGGAAAATCTGCATAAAATATTTTGGCCCTCCCTTCATACCAGAGAAGAAGTCTGAATTACTATGGTATTAAAAGATAAAATATGTTGACATCATACAATACTACACACATATTTTATGTATTTCCAAACTTCTGTGTCGTCTGCAGCTTCTGCAAAACTCCCCCAAAATTCTCCTTTAATTTCTTATGCTGACCCGCGACGTATCAAAACCACGATGGGGAAAGTCGTGATGTGAAAGGGATAACTGTAGGTGCTTAAGAAATATTAATTGATTGATTGATAAGTCAGTATTTTGTTTCTGCTACAACATTCTTCCCCACAGTGATCTATGCAGAAAGATCAACTCATGGCACAGCTCTGCCAACGAAAGCCTTTAAAGGCTATACAGTATCACACAAGAAACTCATTCTCATTCTTCTTTTCAGTCATCTCATTTCGGGCCTAGCACTGTATGGCCCAGTTTGATCACCCATTTTTCCCCTCTGACTTGGTTCCAAATGACTTTTGGCTGTTTCCAAAAATCACAGAATCACAGAGCATTAGAGCTGGAAGACACCTTGGAGATTATCATAAGAATAGCTTCCATTTCTATAGCATTTTAATTTACAAAGAACTTTGCATCCATTAACGCATTTGATCCTTACAGGAATCCTGTGAAGGGGATAGTGAAACCTTTATCACTCGAATTTTACAGATAAGGAAACTGAGACTCATAAGTGACTCATTTGCTCAAGGTCATGTAGCTAGTCTTTCGATTCTGTAGGTGTCTCAGCGGCTGCGTCTTCAGCCCAGATTGTTTTAGGTGATGGGAAGTTCTCTCAAGTGACAGAGGTTGGGGATGGAGGTATCTTATAGCACCATAGATCTAGATTTAAAAGGGATCTTAGAAATAATGAAATCCAACTACTTCATTTTACAAATCAGAAAATGGAGAAAATTGAGGTCCAGATATATTAAGTGACTTGCCCAGAGTCACACAGCTAGTAAGCATGTGAGGCAGAATTCAAATCCAGGTCTCCCAGATTTCAAGTTCAGTGCCCTATATCCACTTTCTGATCATATAGTTTAGCTCCATCTCTGTACAAAGGTAGAAAAATTAGCTACCAGTTGGGATATTAAAAAGTATGTGTCACAGACTCTGAATGGCGCTCCAAAAGAAGAATACCAAATATATTCTTATCCAGGGCACCGTTGCTGGAGTAAGAGGCTGGTCTCCAAGTGAACTTCTTGGAAGGGACAACACTCATTTGGATGGATAAATTCTGGCATGTTGGTTAAAAGATCACTTATATTATTTTATAGTCATACTTCTTTTAAAAGTATAAATTTTATTTTGATCTGCACTAATAAATACAGATATTCAAAAATAGAACCATGAATATAAAATAAAATAAAGAAAATGAACATGAAAGCTGAAACCAACAAACCGAAAGACACAAGAGACTGTAAATGATTGTATATACATCTACAAATCTCATTATTTACTGAGAGTCATGTGTCTCTATGGGTATGTATGCTGTCTGTGTATGCATATACTTATATGTACACAAGATATATCTATCTCTATCTCTATCTATCTATCTTCCAAGCCAGGAAGACCTGGGTTCAAGTCCCAACTCTGGCACTTGCTGGCTAAGTGATCCTGGTAAATTCATTTTACTTCTTATTGCCCTTGGTGACTCTAAGGCTAAGAGTTGCAGAGCAATTATACATCTGCATTGGTAGTTTCCTCACTGGGGAGTTCCCTGTATCAATAAAATCATAAGTCCAGTCCAATGTATTCCTAAAGACACTCACACACATACTTATACATTTATGTATATATGTAACTATAGTAATACTTCTAGATCCCTATTAAATGTGCTAAGCCTATGTAAATGCATCTATGCATGCATGCATGTATAGATGCATATGGCAGCTAGGTGGTGCAATGGATAGAGCGCTGGGCCTTGAGTCTGGAAGACCTGAGCTCCAATCAGCCTTCAGACGCTAACTAACTTTGTGACCTTGGGCAAGTCACTTAATTTCTTGTCTGTCTTGGTTTCCTCAACAGCAAAATGGGGATAATAATAGCACTTACCTCCCAGAGTTGTTGTGAGTATAAAAATGAAGTATTATTTGTGAAGTTCTTAGAACACTGCCTGGCACATTTGTTGTTGTTCAGTTGTTTTTCAGTTGAGTCCTACTCTTTGTGGCCCCATTTGGGTTTTTTTTTTTGGTAGAAATACTGGAGTAGTTTGTCGTTTCCTTCTTCAGCTCATTTTACAAATGAGGAAACTGAGGCAAAAGGGTTAAATGACTTGTCCAGGGTCACATAGCTAGTAAGTGTCTGAGGTCAGATTTGAACTCAGGAAAATGAGTCTTCCTGACTCTCTATCTAGTGGGCCATCTAGCTGCCCACCTACCACATTGTAGGTGCTATATAAATGTTAGCTAATGTTATGGATTTATTTGTGTATGTATCTATATTCCTTTGCACACTTATAGTCACATGTATACAACTATATACTATATGTGTGTGTGCATGTAAGTTTGAGAATGTGGATTTTTTTTTTGTCTTTGTATCAGCATACCATCTGTATGTCTGGCACACAAAAGGTGCTTAATGAATGTTTGTTGATCAATTAATGTATAAATATGTATGTGTGTGTTTATGTATATGTATGCAGAGAACAAGGTAGAATGTGATGGGGAATGATTTTAGAAAATTTGAGGAAGGAAAAAATGCCTGCTACTTACATATATAATACACAATGCATTATAGGCACATATGTGTATATACACATACACTTGCACACATATACATATATACACAAAAACTATGCCAGTTTGGGAACTATGAGGTTTGTACAGACAGATGCTTGGCTCACTGGAAGACAGATGTGCCTGCTCCCCTCCCCCTCAATTATGGTCCTTCCTTTTCTCCCTAACTACCTTATGCTTGAAGGCCTTCCCTGTCACAAGTACCATGCAAACCCCAAATCCCCCCAG